CCAAGTTAGTGCAAATGGTGGAGGCGGAGGGCTTCCAGGCAGACAGGCAGCTGTGTGAGCATCCCAGCCAAGAAAACCTCCAGGGAGGGGAGGACAATGCAGCCACACAGCGTTGGGATGAGGATGAGGATGGGGCACGAGGGCAGGGTGAGCGTGTGCTGCCACATCAGCCCATGTTTGATCCACAGGGAACGGGAATTGGGCAGGGAGCGGGGGCTGATGCAGGAGTGCAGCCATGGGAGGAGGCTGAAAGCCTGGGTGTGCTGGAGGAGCAGAGCACTGCTGCAATGGCAGAGGTTGATGAGCTCAAACTGACCCCAGGAGGGAGCACAGAGGCACATCTGCAGCTCTCAAGTGAGGTCAGCTCCCCGGGGACAGGGCAGGGAGGGAGCGTGAATCCGGATCTTGAACCCCTGGATCATGCTGATAAACCTGAGTTAGTGGAACTGGTGGAGGCAGAGGACTCCCAGGCAGACAGGCAGCTGTGTGGGGGTACCAGCCAAGAAACAGCCCAGGGAGGGGAGGACAATGCAGCCACGCAGCGTGGGGATGAGGATGAGGATGGGGCACGAGGGCAGGGTGAGCGTAAGCTGCCACATCAGCCTGTGTTTGATCCGCAGGGAGTGGATATTGGGCAGGGAGAGGGGGCTGATGCAGGAGTGCAGCCATGGGAAGAGACTGAAAGCCTGGACACACGGGAGGCTCAAAGCGCTGCTGCAAATGTGCAGCTAATGGCAGAGGCAGATGAGCTCAAACTGACCCCAGGAGGGAGCACAGAGGCACATCTGCAGCCCCTGAGCGAGGCTGGCTCCCCGGGGCAGGGAGGGAGCGTGAATCCAGATGTGCAGTCTCTGGATGAGGTTGATAAACTAGAGTTAGTGGAACTGGAGGTAGAGGATGCCCAGGCAGACACGCAGCTGTGTGGGAGTCTCAGCCCAGAAGCCCCGTGGGGAGGGCAGGGTGGAGCAGGCATGAGGCTTGAGGATGAGGATGGGGCACAAGGGCAGGGTGAGCGTGAGCTGCCACACGAGCCTGTGCTTGATCCGTGGTGGGGGCCGGTGCGGCAGGGTTTGGTCTCCTGCAGCCTCAAGTAAATTTAAGCACAGAATTAAGCATGAAAACACGACACTGGGGTGTGCAGACTTGAGGTCTGTTTGAAAGGTGTGTTTTCTCCAGCAGCCACGTGGAGGAGGAGGTGCAGGTAAGCAAAGGGACTGAAGGGGGGCTGATGCAGGGGTGCAGCCACGGGAGGAGGCTGAAAGCCTGGGTGTGCTGGAGGAGCAGAGCACTGCTGCAGATGTGCAGCTAATGACGGAGGTTGATGAGCTCAAACTGACCCCAGGAGGGAGCACAGAGGCAGTTCTGCAGCCCCTGAGCGCGGCTGGCTCCCCGGGGACAGGGCACGGAGCGAGCATGGATCCAGATGCTGAACCCCTGGATCAGGTTGATGAACTCGAGTTAGTGGAAATGGAGGCAGAGGACACACAGCTGTGTGAGCATCTCAGCCAAGAAACCCTCCAGGAATGGGGGGACAATGCAGTCACGAAGCTCGTGGAGGACAGTGAGGAGGGGGCACAAGGACATAGTGAGCGTGGGCTGACACAGGAGCCTGTGCTTCACCCCCACGGAGTGACCATCGGGCCGGGAGAGGGGGCTGGTGCAGGGGTGCAGCCACAGGAGGAGGCTGAAAGACTGGGTGCGCTGGGAGAGCAGCGCAGTGCC